AACAATAGAAATGAATCGATCTCTTCCTGTTAATAACACTACAAAGAAAACACTAGAAATGAATCGATCTCTTCCTCTTAACAACACTACAAAGAAAACAATAGAAATGAATCGATCTCTTCCTGTTAATAACACTACAAAGAAAACACTAGAAATGAATCGATCTCTTCCTCTTAATAACACTACAAAGAAAACACTAGAAATGAATCGATCTCTTCCTGTTAATAACACTACAAAGAAAACACTAGAAATGAATCGATCTCTTCCTGTTAACAACACTACAAAGAAAACATTAGAAATGAATCGATCTCTTCCTGTTAACAACACTACAAAGAAAACAATAGAAATGAATCGAACTCTTCCTGTTAATAACACTAAAAAGAAAACACTAGAAATGAATCGATCTCTTCCTGTTAACAACACTACAAAGAAAACACTAGAAATGAATCGATCTCTTCCTCTTAACAACACTACAAAGAAAACAATAGAAATGAATCGATCTCTTCCAGTTAACAACACTACAAAGAAAACAATAGAAATGAATCGATCTCTTGCTGTTAACAATACTTCATTATTAGTATTTTCATTAAAGAATACTTTACTTTTTTTCGTGCTTCTTTCTTCGTAAAATATTTTGTCACCAGCTGTGGATAAATTACTTGCTTCATTTTTAATCGATTCAAAATAATTTCTTAATTCAAAAATGAATTATTTCAATGATTTTAATAGTGTTTCTCCATTCGAAATGTTCAGCTTTGGGTCTTGTAATGATATATGTACCACATTTACTCGTTGTAATATTTTGGACCAACATGAAATCATCAGTCTTGTTTCATAATCGTCATACTTTTTAATTAAAGATGTAGTTTTTTATCTTGTATTCTTCCCTAAGCAAATCGTAAGAATGTTACATTTTTGTATAGAAAGAGAGAAAAATACAAATAAGTTTTCTACAAAGTTAAAATATAATGTCGAATAGATTTAACAAGGTATAAAAAGGCTGTTTGCTTTTTAATTAATGCTTGCAAGGTATTTAGCATAACTTCCTCTAAATTTTCAGCAGTGTGAGATTTTATAGAAATAAATCCCCAAAACCTTTCTTTTATTTGCACGTCTTTCCCAGTAACCCCCCCCCCCCCAC